TATTCGAAGTCGTTCGCAAAGCCTGATGGAGAAATCCGAGGAAAACGACTCTTTGCGTGCTCCGGTTGGTCTTTTCCGTGTCACTTCCTTTCCCGAACCGACACTTCGCTGCCACTTGGAACCATGGAGAGCATGAGAACATTAAGGAAGGGTCGGCTATGAATATTTATAACGAAGGTATGCAAAGATTTTTTATTAGGGCTATTATTGCGGACGTTGATTTGCTATTTATTATACAGAATTGGGTTTATATGAAGGAGTTTTTAGATGGAGATAAGTTCGAGACAAGGTTTGATATTCAAGGGTTCAGTTCCGAGATTATTTGGTTTTGGAATCGGATGAGAAGCTTGTCGAGGATGTTCCATATATTTCTTCAAATGTCATCGGTGGTACTCACTATTTGATCACTATTCAATAAATAAAGCAAATTTGCTAAGGTTTTATTTTATTAATAACCATCTTTTGCTTATTTTGAAATGGATCCACGGAAATAACTAATATGGAAAACGTTTTGGTTCAAAATGATTTTCAGTATAATCATCAATTAATATAATAGCAAATAAATATAGAAGGTTTAAGATAAAATTTAATTTAGGGCTATCGAGATGGGATCGAAAAGGCTTTGCCAGGGGATGCTCTTCTAAAACCATCGTTTTCTTCCGGAGTATTGTCACGTCCCAGGTGTATGACAAAAATGGTCACTATGGCGGTACTTCTGCGGAAATGCCCGGTTTTCTGGGGGGTCCTGCCTACCAGAAATTCTTTTCGCAATGGAGTTTCTCGGATTGTGTCTTAAAGGTAAGGTATATCGATGGTTTTGCCTCAGACTTGGCACATTCGCTTTACAGAGAGGGCTCAATGTTATCAAAATTGTCGCTCTGGACATTTCGATGGAAAGCGCAATAATCTATATGTCAGTTTCTCCTATTCTCTTAACATTTATCCAATTGACACAATTTCCCTTTTAGTGTAGTGGGATACGAAAAGCAGGTACTTAAGGAGACTAAGGAAACCGAGGAGACCGAGGAGTCCAAATGTTCTATTCTCTAATCACGTGAATTGATTGAAGTAATTTGTAAAAAATTTCTATTGAAAATTTGTTGATTCGATTTACGCTTCGAATAAATTTGTTTTTTTATTTAAAAAATAATTAAATTAAAGATCATTTAATTTTGACAGCAAGCTTTTGAAATGAAAAGAAGGGATGACCTGGAAACCAAGAAGGTACCTTTTAGAATTGTCAAATATAAATTAGGAATCATCTAATTGAGTACTAATAAGCAGAACAAAGTCCATTTGTTGTCGGTGGCTACACAAGCTAAACGATTAGCACACTCAAAGTCCCTGCTGAGAAGTTTCAGGGAACAACCAGCATCTTCATGTTGTGTTCAGTGATGAAAAGATATTTACTGTTGAAGAGTATCTTAACAAGCAGGATAATCGCATCCACTCGGAGATTAAGCCGAATTCTCGAATTCAGCGAATTTCATTGATGCAGAACCAGCATCCCACAATTGGTTATGGCTTTTTACAGCTGTGACATCAGATGGAAATTGTCACTTTTTCGTGGATGCTAGTGTTAAGATCAAGACGTGTATTTGTAATTTCCTCAAAAACAATTTACTTCCATGAGAAATCTCTCTACTTTGGGGCACGTCATTGAGCGTTTCAGCAAGACCAGAAAGCTCGCAAAGTTCAGGATTAGTGTGAGGCACAATCTCCTCGAATTTATTGTTTTCCGAGTGGTCACCAAGCTCTCCAAGCTTCCCCTTGTTACTCTGTCTGGAGTGTTTTGAAGCAAAAAGCTTGCACGAGTAGCAAGCTAGTAATATTGCAAAGCGAACATTGCAAACTGGCTTGCTAAATTCTGTTCTGGGGATAAATCCTCAGAAGACAAGGAGAAGTCTAGCAGTCCAGCTGGGAGATATGTCAAGTTGCTCGAAATTTTTCAAACCACAACTTTCTTAGTTTGCTATCAGTTGATCCTACATCGTCAAAAACATTAGTTCTTGAAGAAATCGTTGAGTGAAAACCTGGGATGAGTTGGATATAGCCTCGCCACGATCAATGAGTGAGTGTAGTAGTGAAAATGGGCAATCAGAGTGATTTTTAAATCAATCAATGCGTTCCCAGAAACGACTCAAGGTCCGTTTCCCATTTTGAGTTTGATTCTATTTTTTTGTTGAAAAACAAATAAAAATTTTATTTTAAAATTTCAGTTGGTTGATTCCAGCTGACTGACTGACTGATTGCTCTTTAGTTTTTTTGCTTTTGCTTGAAACGCGAGAATCATCTTTGGAATATTACCGTTTCAACAATCTTCTTTTCAACTAATAATGTTTATTTTCAAAAATGTCAAAGCAAAATGAGAAAGAAATTCAGGCTTTCTTTCCAGGCGATTGCGTTTTTTGATTTTCCAGGAATCAGCATTATTAGATTCTCCACGAATCCACGTTGCCGTAAAAGAAAACAAGCGATTTGTGGGTAGAAAGAAAGAAGGAGAAAAGGGAAATCTCATAAAACAGAGCTTTCCATTCTTGCTTTACCAAAAGTGATAAGCTGGCAAACAACTGCACGCAATCGTTTGAGTGGCAAATAAAGAGCACACAATCTAAGGACTCGTAAAAAGTAAGAAATGATTGCCCGAAGATCCCGAATTGCCTCAGTTTTTAAATAAAGGAAGCAAAAAAAAAGTGAGTTAATTGGGAAAAAAGAAAGACCCCACTTTACTACCCAGAGTGATAAACTTTTATGAGAGTGAGTGTAAAGTAGTGAAAATGGGCAATCAGAATGATTTTCGAGTCAAAACCAGGCTCTATTTTTAGGAAATAACAAATGATATTTGGTTTTAAAGTGTTTTTCAGCTTTTTGTCAGCATCAGGATTGCATATTAGATTCGAATCTGATTTTTAAATCAATAGAATAGACGCTAGAGATTTCAGGAGCATTTCGAAAAGGTTTTAGATCTAAATCTCGCTTTTGACAAACAATTTTGAACGATTTGGCTTGATCCGTCAGATTTCCTTGAATCCTAGGCAGAATTTTGATGCAAACCATCAATAATTTGCCTTATGCGGATAGAATTGGATATGCAAATTGATTTTCTCATTCGCATTCAAAATAGCATTGACTGGCTTTTCTTTCGAAACACAAAGAATCGAATAAAATTGATCCTGGTGCAGAGCTCCTTTTGCCCCTTTTCAGCGTTTTTTCGTTTCTGAAAAACTCAAGAAAAAAAACATGAAGTTTAGAAAAGTGTAACTACTTTTTTTTTTCGAGGCTTTTGTAAGTAAGTTTATAAGATTGTAGTATAATTGTACATTTATAGAAAAAGAATTATGAGAGTTTTATGGAACGGTTCACGAATAACATTGAAACATTCAAAAAAGCTCCTTGTCTGGGTAATTTTGCCCTATTGTTTTCACTTTGTTTAGCTAAACTCAATTTCATTTTCTACAAATCTATGAATGAATTGTAAAGTTTATAGGGGAAAATTCCCCCAGACAACATGTAAAAATTTTAGGACTTATTTCCCCGATAACCGATTCTCCGGGTATTTTTCAAAATTAGTAACTTTTAAAATGCCCAAACCTTTGACTAAACTTCCTTTTTCGAATTGAAGTAAAAGTAAAAGTGCTGAGCTTTTTTTTTGAAAAAGCAATAAATGATATTTATGACTTTGAGTAGGGCTAATATTTTTTGATATAAAAATTGATGGAAACTGGTAGAATGCTACTGGATAAGGGAAGAGAAATAGTTATGACTACATTGAGACAAACACATTCCATTGAGTCTCTATAACGAGCGAATTATAGCTCTCGGCGATCTTTTGCCCACAATGAGAACTAAGCATTTTCAGTAGTTGAGTGCTGTTTTTCATTTCTCGAGTCATTTCTCGAGATCACACGTGGAGAAAATTTTTGGTTGGGGGAAAGCAATAAAAGGGATCGTTGGGATGCTTCTCGCGTTTTATGGGGAATGTGATAAGGAAAGAAAGAGATTCCAAAATGAATTGAATTCTTTGAATTGAAGCTTCATTTATCCTTTGACCCCTTTTTTGAGGTATTGGGAAAGAGACGAAAACAATGGAGAAAATCATCGCGTCCATTTTGGTCCTAATAAAATTTAAGCACCAATTTTATGGACATTATCAGCGGGAGAATCGATTGCTTTGAATCGAATTTCAATGATCTCATCTCAAACAAAGAGATCTATGAAAATAAGTCAGAGATCAATTGTATCAATGGATTTCTGATCAAAAGAATTCTCAGTGTTTTTGTTAATGAAAATCATTGAAATTTCATGAACTTGTGTTCAAAGCCAGTTCACTTCAAAGCTAGTTCACTTCCAAGCTAGTTCACTTCAAAGCCAGTTCACTTCTAAGCCTTCAAAGCCAGTTCACTTCAAAGCTAGTTCACTTCAAAGCCAGTTCACTTCTAAGCCTTCAAAGCCAGTTCACTTCAAAGCCAGTTCATTTCTAAGCCTTCAAAGCCAGTTCACTTCTAAGCCTTCAAAGCCATTTCACTTCCAAAGCCAGTTCACTTCAAAACCAGTTCACTCAAATGTTAAAAGCGAATTCCAGAAACGAAATCCCTTAAAAATTTCATAAATTCTCGAAATTTTATGGTTTATACCTTGCAAAGAACTTTATCAATTTGAAGAATTTTTTCGATTCGAAGAATTCGATTTTCCATCACAGATCATTTCTCGATTGTTTTTTAAAGAAAACCGGAGATCGGAAGACCCAACTGATTCAACGGAATCATTTTCCGGGTGTCACGAGATTACAACCCATTTCCAGTACTTTCTGGCTGTAGTAAAATGAAATGAGAGGAAAAAAGAAAGAGAAAAAATAAACCCGTGAAACGACTAGATAAGCCGATCTTGAGGGGATAGCTGGCTGCATAAAAGGAGGTCTCGATCAGCGGAAGATCACACTTTTGCCCCAATTCTTGAGACTTCTCCATTTGAAGACTCAGATTTGGACTCGGAAGGTCGCCATGCCTCATCCCAAGCATCATCACTCTCATCATCTCACCGTCAAGGAGATCAGTGAGTTTTTCTTTTCTGGATTCTTCTGTTTCAAGTAGATGACTAAACCGTAGAAGAAGAATATCGTAAAATTGATTTGAAAATTGATAGATTTATTCAATCTATCTTTTTGCATCTTTGTAAACCATAAACAAAAAGTAAATTGTATAGTAATAGCATTTTCTACCTTCAACGTTAGATACTTTCTACTTTCTACTTTCTATGTTAGATAAATCGATACGATTAGATATGTTAGATACTTGGGCTACTGTAACATTGACAAATTACGGCAAGTAGATGAACGGCAAGTAGATTCAAACTACCGTAATCTACCGTAAGAAATTCAGTTCTAAACAAAGGATTTTAGAAAAGATCTTCTCGCACCATGATGACACCAAAAGTGGACGCATTTCAAGAGATGAGGCCAAGGTAGGCAACTAGAGAAACAAATAATTTGAGAATTTGTAATCGTTAAGGTTTTTACATTTAAATTTAAGGCCGCTCTAAAAGAAGTTGGATCTCATCATCATCGTCATCACAAAAATGACTTTGAGAACGAGTTCAACAAATTGGCCAAGCGTCACTCCAAGCATGATCATCATCACATCACGTTTGCTGGTTTGTTTAATATTTTGGTTTCTTTAATCTGGTTTCTTTAATCTTTAAGCTGGTTTCTTTAATCTTTAATCTAGTTTCTCTAATCTTTAAGCTGGTTTCTTTAATCTTTAATCTGGTTTCTTTAATCTTTAATGATCAAATAATGATAGCTAAGCTATTTCTATACTTAAATATCTTATTAGAGGTTTATAAAATGAAATGCTTACATGTAAACGACTCAATTTAGATTTCTTGCACTTTGTTCATCCCGCCGAAGGAGTGCATCATCACAAACATCACAAAAAGATCACAAGGCTTCAAGGTTTGAGGAAAAAGCTCTCAAAGAGAGAATTATCGAAAAGTTTAGCTCGTCTTCAAGCTCTTCTTCATCGTCTTCATCGTCAAGCAGCTCATCGGAGTCGGAGCCTGAGCATCATCATCATCATCACCACAAGAAAGAGAAGAAAGATGCCTCTTCATCTTCATCCTCTTCTTCGTCATCCTCTTCCTCATCCTCTTCATCAAGCAGCTCTGAATCTGAGGCTGAGCATGGACATCACCATCACAAGAAAGACTCCAGCTCTTCTTCTTCTTCTTCATCTTCATCGTCGAGCAGCAGCTCCGAATCTGAACCAGAGCACAAACATGGAAAGCATCATCACAAGAAACACCATGTGAAGAAAACCAAGAAACACCAATCCAGCTCATCTTCTTCTTCCTCGTCCAGCTCCAGCAGCTCTTCTGAGTCAGAAGATGAACATCATCACAAGAAACATGAGTCTGGCCCTCCTCGTCCTTCTTCATCTTCTTCATCGTCATCTAGCAGCTCGGAATCCGAGCCCAAGCATCACAAGAAGCACCACAAGAAACACCACAAGAAAGACGCCGTTTCAAGCTCTTCATCATCGTCATCTAGCAGCTCCGAATCGGAAGATGAACATAAACATCATAAGAAGCATCACAAAAAGGCCGAATCTGGTTCATCCTCATCATCATCGTCGTCATCTTCATCATCTTCTTCCTCGTCGAGCAGCTCCGACTCTGAGCCAGAGCACAAGCATCACAAGAAACACCACAAAAAAGAAGCTGGATCGTCATCCTCTTCTTCCTCATCATCTTCATCTTCTTCGTCAAGCTCTGACTCGGAGGCTGGACATGGAAAGCACAAGAAGCATGAATCGAGCTCATCATCTTCTTCAAGCTCATCTTCTTCGTCCTCGAGCAGTTCCGAATCCGAACCTGAGCACAAGGCTCACAAGAAGCACCATCACAAGAAACATCATAAGAAAGAGCACAAGAAACCCGCCTCATCATCCAGCTCATCTAGCTCTTCGTCTTCGTCTTCCAGCAGCTCTTCTTCTGAAGACGAACACAAGCATCATCACCACGAGCACCACAAAAAGGACAGCTCAAGCTCGTCCTCGTCTTCGTCGTCGTCGTCTTCATCAAGCAGCTCTGAGTCCGAGCCAGAGAAGAAACATCACTCTCATGCTCATCATGAGCACGGACATGTTCATCATAAGAAGCACGGAAAACATCATAAACATCACGAACACGGTCACCACGAGCACGGTCATCATCACGAGCACGGACATGGACATGGACACCACGAGCACGGACATGGACATGGACATCACGAGCACGGACATGGACATGGACATCACGAGCACGGTCACCATCATGAGCACGGACACCATGAGCATGGCCATCATCATGAGCATGCCCACGTTCACCATAAGAAACATGGAAAGCATCATAAGAAACATCATGAGCACCATGAGCACGGACATGGACATGGACATCACGAACACGGACATGGACATCACGAACACGGTCACCATCATGAACATGGGCATCATGAGCACGGGCATGGACACCATGAGCATGGCCATCATCATGAGCACGGACATGGACATGGACACGGACACCAGGCATGAACATGGACACCATCACGAGCACGGGCATGTTCATCACAAGAAACATGGCAAACACCATAAGCATCATGAGCACGGCCACCACGAGCACGGACATCACGAACACGGCCACCATCATGAACATGGGCATCATGAGCACGGGCATGGACACCATGAGCATGGCCATCATCATGAGCACGGACATGGACATGGACACCATGAGCACGGTCATCATCACGAGCATGGCCATGAACATGGACACCATCACGAGCACGGGCATGTTCATCACAAGAAACATGGCAAACACCATAAGAAGCATCATGAGCACGGACATCACGAACACGGCCACCACCATGAGCACGGACATCATGAGCATGGCCACCATCATGAACACGGCCACCATCATGAACACGGACATCATGAACATGGCCACCATCATGAGCATGGACATCATGAGCACGGACATCATGAGCATGGCCATCATCATGAGCATGCCCACGTTCACCATAAGAAGCATGGAAAGCATCATAAGAAACATCATAAGCATCATGAGCACGGACATCACGAACACGGCCACCATCACGAGCACGGGCACCATGAGCACGGACATGGACATCATGAGCATGGACATCATCATGAGCACGGACACCACGAGCATGGGCATCATGAACACAAGCACCACGAACACGGACATCATGAACACGGCCACCATCACGAACATGGACATCATGAGCACGGACATCATGAGCACGGCCATCATCATGAGCACGGGCATGATCACCATAAGAAACATGGCAAGCATCATAAGAAACATCATAAGCATCATGAGCACGGACACGAACACGACGAGCATGGACATCATGAACACAAGCACCACGAGCATGGACACGAGCACGGACACCACGAGCATGGGCATCATGAACACAAGCACCACGAACATGGACACGAGCACGGACATCACGAGCATGGACATCATCATGAGCACGGACATCATGAACATGGACACCATGAGCACAAGCACCACGAGCACGGACATCACGAGCATTCTGATGAGCATCATCACAAGAAGCATCACAAGAAACATCATAAGCACTAGAATATTGAATGTTACTCTGTACAAATTTGTATTCAATCTCTTTATCCCATCATTAGCGATGGTTTAGTTTTGAGCGTCAATAAATTTTATTTATAAAAGCAATTTTAAAAAGAACACCGGTAATCGAATATGGCATGTCAATTGAGGATTTTGGAACAGAATCATGGATAGAAATCTAGGCCAATGAAGAGAAAAAGAGTTCTTTTACAGATGAGCAACATTTTTTTGAAAAAGTTAGAAAATAAATCTCAAATTTAGGCAAATCAAAATGAGGTATAAAGTTATTGTTGAGATTCTTGGCGAAGAACTAATGAATGGAGAAGGCATGGCTCCTAGACGTAATGATCGAGCTTCACTCCTTGGTCCAAGTCCTCCAGCATTATAGGCAGCAACCTAAAATTTTGGTGACTTTCAATGGGAATTTCTAAATGGTCAAACCTGTACTGTGTATTTGTACATGAGTCGTAAGCCATCCAAACGGGCAGATGGTTGTTGAGGGTCGACTAGCGCTTTCAGAGGCATATTCAAAACAACAGCATCGGAAGCGGTTTCAGAAATGTAGACAAAGATCTAAAACGAACGATTGAACATTTACTGAACGATTGAACATGCAAAAGTTAAAACCTTGTAGCCAAGCTCGGTGGTATCTGTGATATTCCCGAAATCAACTGAAGTCCATTCGATAATCGTAGTGAAATGTCCATCCGGCATTGCAGCCAATCCCAGCCGCCCAATTGTAGGAGCTGCGGGTGGAGGTGGTTTTGCGGTTCGGACAGCTTCCTGAATAAAAAGATTCTAGATGTGAAAACAAAGTCTAACTGTTTCTGTTCTTGCTCCAAGTCTTCCACTAGGGTCCACCGGTGTTAGAGAACATCGATAAATTGTTGACGCTTTCAATCCGCCGACCATCCATTTAGTGAATGAAGCAGAGACGGTCAAAGGGCCGACCAAATGATCCGGAGCAAAGCATTCAATCTGAAAAACGGATTTGATAACAAAGACTTCATGAAAACCTGAATGGCAAATGTGACGTCACAGTCGCTCGCTCCATGCCAACTCCAAGAAATATTTAAATGAGTGGCATTTAAGGCCTGGATTTCGGTGATGTTCACATGACGCATTGAGCCTGAAATTTAAGAATCTAAAAACAAGTACGACGCTTTAAAAAGTTGACAGTGTTTTGATTGGGTACATGAAATACCTTTTGAATTCACAAATGCAACAGCATCCGTCGCTGTATCTGATGGTCCTTGATCGTTTAAAGCCCGAACCTCAAGGATAACTGCTCGACATCCATCTAATATAAAGTTTTTGTGTTTCTTTACGAAATTTTACTGGTAGAGTTGAGTCGGACAAGGACGGCCGGATGCTCGGATTCGATCTCGTGCTTTAGAATTTTTGGCGTACTTGTATACGTCCCTTCGGCCGCCTCTTCTGACCATGTCACCAAATAGCGAAGGTGGTCACCAGATGAATGCTCCTGAGAGTTTAGATGTTGATGGAAAAATGTCGATATTTCAAACCTGTTCCACAGCATCCCACTCAACGAAAATCGTGCTTTGATCGAGTGCTTTCCACGAGAGACTTTGTGGAGCCTCGGTGGGTGGCCTTGCCGGAGTGTGAATCCATTCTGTTGGCGCTGATGCGTCGCCGATCTGTCCGCCGAGCACCGAGCGCACACGGAACTGTAATTGAGTACTAGACATGGGAAAATTTCAAACCAAATCTAATTCGATCTTTGTTTTCTTGACCGTTTCTTGGTCGATTGCTCTGCAATTTTGTTTACAAATAGAAATTGGGATTCTCTGCTTGTAGAGCAAAATTGCAGAGCAATCGACCAAGAAAAGGTCAAGAAAACAATGGTCGAATTAGGTTTGGCTTGGAATTTTCCCATGTCTGCTTTTAAAATACCGACTAGTTGCATATATTTCCTTTTCTAATCACTTACCTGATAGTCTTGATTCGGTAAAAGATCATCGACCGTTGTTCGATCCACAGATTTCTCAATTCGCTGAAACATTGACCGATTGACCGTTTTCCATCGTCGATCATCTTTCGACCGCACTTCAATCAAGAAACTTTCTTCCACAGGCTAATATTTTCATTTAAAAAAGCAGCTAATTTCTTTCTTTTTACCGGATTTTGTCGTGTTTCTCGATGCTGCGCTGGCAAAATCCAATAGAGATCGACTCCGAAACGAGAAATGTTCACAGCATTCACCTGAAATCCTTTTATCCTTTTTGTTCTCAAAATTGCCAAACCTTTAATGGTGCTGGTGGGGATCCTTTCGATATCGAGATCCCATCAGATTCTCCAAAAATAGATCGGCAAAAGGAGGGCTTCCTGACGACTTCTTCCTGAAAATTGGTGATCTCAAAATTGGTGAAAATCAACATTTCCCACCTCATGCTGAACCTCACAAGTGACATTTCGTCCGCTTTCCCAGATCATTGTCCCATTCTTTGCGCGAATCTCTTTTTTATCTGAAAATCTTGAGTTTTTCCGATTGTTTAGATGTGACAAACCACTGACAACCAAAGTGACAGCTGCATGATCTTCGCCAAGACGATTGCGAACGATGCAAAAGAAAAGACCAGCGTCATCTAAATGTAGAAAAATAAAAAAAACAAAACAAATCTACATACCTGAAATAAGATTCTCAATGACAAGTAGTCCATTTTGATCTCTGATTCGCCCTTTTGTGGGCAAATTTGTCCCGCCACCAGTCGACCAAAAAGCTGTTCCCAATGGTGAGGCTTGATAAACACATGGAAGTCTCTAGAAAGAAATTTTTGCAACTCTGTTTATAGTAATCTAAAGTAATTGAAAAGATCTTGCAAATATCTTGCAAAGATCACTCTAAATGAACTCACCAAAGTTGTCCCTTTTAACGCAAAAACCTTTGATGGCATTGAAAGAGGCGGAAATCTTGGCGCCGCGTCGAGCACTTTAATGAACGAAGAGCTGACTGTTGATCCAATCTGATAAAGATCTTTGAATTCTATTCTAAATTTTTCTTTACCTCATTGCTGACCACACATTCATAAATTCCGGTATCATTTGGTTTCGTTTCTCGAATGAGTAATCTAAAGTTAAGACAATAAATTTATATTAATCATTCGTACAAATTGTGATCAATCGTGAATCGGCGACGTTCGTGTGCTGGCATAAGAAGTGGAACCAAGGGACGAGCATTTCGAAACCATTCAACCTGAAAAAAAAGTAAAGCTTTTGATATGTTTAACATATTATGAAACAAAGAACTCTTATTTTATTGTGACTTGTGTTCCTTTATAGTTCCTTTATAGTTCCTTTATGGTTCCTATTTGGTTCCTTTAAAGTTCCTTTAAAGTTCCTTTAAAGTTCCTTTAAAGTTCCTTTAAAGTTCCTTTATAGTTCCTTTATAGTTCCTGTTTGGTTCCTTTATAGTTCCTACTGAGATTTTATTTACTTGTGATGTGAGATCAGATGACGGAAGTGTACATTCAAGCGACCATTCCGATTCTGTTGCAACTAATCGAGGAGCTAACGGAAGAAGAACAACTGGTGGTCCGGCCAAAATCAGCGTCACTTCCCCACTCACCACTCCTTTTACATTTGCTGCTGTACATTTATATCTAAAGGATTTGTTTTTTTTAAAGGATAAATAGTGATTGCCTTGTCTGATCGTGTGGTTGAAGGTTCTCAATTTTCAACACTCGATCGTGATTCAAAACGGTACTTCGATCAGGTAAAGGTTTCCCGTCGACTCTTGTCCATCGATAAGATGGAACCGGGCTAAAAAAAATTGTTAAGATGTTTATACGTTTTGCTATTTTAATAAATCTCACTTTCCATACGCAAAGCATTCAATATAGACTGTATCGCCTGGAGCTGGTCGTTCTGGGAAAAGCTGTGGATGACCGACTTCGAGTCTTGGTGGGAAAGCTTCTCTAAAATGTTTGTCATAAACTTAAATAGATATTAAAGGTTAAAACGAACCTAGTTGGTGATGGAAGAGTTGCAGGGGGAACTCGTAAACGAAAGAATGGACCGTAATGTCCAGAAGACATTGAGGCCAATGAGAGAGAACAGGCATAACTGGAAGAATTTCAATTTTGAAGAATTTCGAAAAGAATTTCGTGATCGTGATCTTACTATTGAAATTTCTAGATAGTCATGATGCTTCCCGTTCTCTAAAAGACACTGTAATCAAGCTGTCAGCTGATCAGCCAAATGCTGATCAGCTGATCAGCCAAATGCTAATCAGCTGACAGCCAAATGCTGATCAGCTGACAGCCAAATGCTAATCAGCTGATCAGCCAATCTATTCAAAATCTAATACCAAATGAAAACGATTAGTGTAGCTTTCGAAAACAGAAGTCTATCGTCGATAGACTATCGTCTCATCGTCTATCATCTCATTGTTTGACTAACCTTTCATCATCTTCAGCAAGCACGTGTGAAAAGAGAAGCGTTCCATCAAGGGAAATGAAAACTCGTTGATCTTGTGCTCGATATCTTTCCGTTGATCCACCAATGTGCCACGCATAAGTGATCGACTCTAAAACACACGCAAGCGGTGCAAATTGATTTTTTAAAAAGGAAATATTCTATTGTGCTGACTTTTTTTTTTTTCATTAAAAAATTGCTAGGGAACATGCTTTCATTTTTTGAGGAAATTTTAAAGAAAACAGGAATCGTTTTGCAATCAAAACAAAAGAGTAATCAAAGAAAACTTGTTGACTACAGATTACCGTAAGAATTTCTATTCGAATTCCGCTGACGATGGTCTGAATTTTTCGATTTTCGAATTTTCGATTCTTGCTTTTCTTTTTTTGTGCAAAGCTGTTTAAGATTTTTTAGTGGAATTTTTTGTGCGTGTCAAAGCAAATGGTGGTTTGTTATTTGATGAGAGTTTTTCTACGAAACTATCAAAAGTTTATTGTGCATTTTGTGTGAGAGTTGAGTGCTTTAAGTGATTTTGAATTGTGTAAAGTAGAAATTGTTCTTTTCAAACATTCATAGACGATTTCATTTCAATGTGATTCGTGTGCTGAGTGGATTTCTCACAAAAACACTTTTTCTAAAACATGACAACTTTCGTTAAAGCTATCGTAATCCTGGCTACCGTAATCCTGGCCACCGTAATCCTGGCTACCATAATCCTGGCCACCGTAATCCTGGCTACCGTCATCCTGGCTACCGTAATCCTGGCTACCATAATCCTGACTATCGTAATCCTGGCTACCATAATCCTGGCTACCATAATCCTGGCTATCGTAATCCTGGCTACCATAATCCTGGCTACCGTAATCCTGGCTACCGTAATCCTGACTATCGTAATCCTGGCTACCATAATCCTGGCTACCGTAATCCTGACTACCATAATCCTGGCTACCATAATCATGGCTACCATAATCATGGCTACCGTAATCCTGACTATCGTAATCCTGGCTACCATAATCCTGGCTACCGTAATCCTGGCTACCATAATCCTGGCTACCATAATCATGGCTACCATAATCATGGCTACCGTAATCCTGACTATCGTAATCCTGGCTACCGTAATCTCTAATGGAATGGGGTGAATGGGTGGATAAGAGGGGAGAGAGGGGAGAACGATGGTCGGATGAGGAGAGATGCATCAGTGGGAATAGGGGGACACAGAGCTGATCTACCGTAATCAGAGCTGATCTACCGTAATCTCTAATGGTTCGTAATCTATCTACAATTTGTAGATGTTACAGTGACTCAAGTAATACCGTATTCAATAGAAACTATCTAGATTACTGTAACTTTTCTAGTTTTGATCCATTTTTGATATTTCCCTATATTTGTGAATGCTCACAGAATTAGAGCTTGCATAAAACTGAGCCAAGATAACGATAGTTTCGAAAATTCACGTTTGAGAGCTGTTGTGGAATAAAACAAGCAAAACAAAAAGGGAATTCCCTCACACAAAATTCTACATTAAAGCCTTTTCATCAATCAGCCAATGGAGAAGATCTCATTCAAGGAAAATCAACAAAAAATATCAGAAAAACCTCGAAAGCTTGACTTTTATTCGTTATTTGAGTGAACCTAGTTATTAAAAATAACCACTTTTTTGCATAAAAGACTTTTAAGCTTTAAATAGTACCAAAGCTATTGCTCTAATAGCTATTGTTCTAATAGCTATTGCTCTAATCAAGATTGAGATTAACTTGATTGTGATTAAGATTATTGATACATTGTCAAAGGCCAAACCATTAACCATTGATCTTATAACAAATCAAAAACAAATCAAGAACAAATCAATTGACTCAAGCTTCATTTCAGCTTTAGGTATCAATGAAAAGCTCTAAAAATCTTCTATGAAACAAAGAAAGTAAACATATTGACTTTAAAAGTTAACTAATAAAAACATATTGACTTTAAAAGTTAACTAATAAATTAGCTAAAAGCTAGCTTCACTCCCGAAACAACGAAACAAAGTCAGTCATATTTTGTGATGCGGAAAGATAAAGGTGCATGTTCATTTCTTTTTTTGTGTGTGCAATTCGTGCAAATACAAATTTTTCTTTTCAGGTTTATTTCTATATGTTTCCACTAAATGTTTCGAAAAGTCAAAAGTGAAATTCAGCCACAAAAAAATGACTGATTAAAAGTGATTGATTGATTGAACTGATTGATTGAACTGATTGATTAAAAAATTGATTAAAAAATTGATTGATTAAAAAAACTGATTAAAAGTGTTTGAAAAAGTTGAGCTTTTGCAAAAACAATCAAATTTCGTTTATAAACCCAAAAAAAAACTCTATAAAAATGGGCTGAATTTTTTGGAAAATTTTGGAAATCTTTTCCCATCATAAATACAAAAGAAACTCGAAAATTTGTGTGTAAAAAGTGTGAAAGTGCGAGTGATGAAGTGCCATTTTTTTTTTTCGTGCCATTTTTTGATCAAGTAATTCTCGTGCCATTTTTTTTTTTGCTTGGTGATTTTTTTGGTGATTTTTTGGTGAGGTGATATGTGCGAGTGGATGAGTGCATATAAAAACGAATCGTGCATTTTTTGTGCTCATCTTTGTGCTCATTCTTGTGCTCATCTTTGTGCTCATCTTTGTGCAATTTGTGAACATTTTTGGTGCAAGCTAGATCAAATTTTAAAGCAAAAAAAGAAAATGGCTCGTGCTTGATGTGCTGTAGTGTAAAAAACAAGTGCTGTAGAGTGAGGTGAATGCGTTTTTCAAATGCGAATGCGTTCTGAATGCGTTTGTCTAACGTTTTCCTTCTGTTTTCCTTCTGTTTTCAACTTTTCATAAAGCTAAAGTAATCTTGGAAAAGATTGAAAACCTAGAGGAACGATACTTTCAAAATCAAAAGTTGAAACGTTTTAGAAAACGGATTCGGAAAACTTACCGTAAACACTGTAATAGTACCCCATCGCCCTCGTACAGTCGCGTAGTCGCAAAAGTTTTTTAGTATTTCATTTGTTTCAAAGCGTCAGTACTTTCAAAAAATGCGTCTTTGGTATCAAAAAATAGCTGAAATTCAGGGCTATTTTTTGATACCAAAACCCGCATTGTAGCATAAACCAGTGTCGAGAAAAACTCGTTCAAAGCTAAACTACGCAACACTGCGCACCGTCATTATGGGCGGGGGGTACTATTACAGTATTTACGGTATATACAAGTTCAGTAGTGAAGTGAAATCGTTTGGGTTAGTGAGACAAATGTTATGACAAATAGGGGTAGATTCAAAGAATAAACTCAATCATTTCTCATATGAAAACTGATCTAAAATTTTTAAAACATTGTGCGAGTGCTCACAATACGACAACGATCAGAATGGGAAGAAAAGAAGAAAAGAATTCCTTCGATTCGCTTCTTCAATCCATTTTGATGTGATTTTTGGTGTGATTATGATGTGATTTTGGTGTTGAGAAGATCAAAATTGGCAAATAGGGAAGTGAATAGTCTAGAAATTTCAAAGTTATACAAGAAAAATAGAGAATAAAGGTGAAGATGGAGATAAAATAGAGATCTTTAGATTATATATATATATAATAGAGAAAATCGAGAAAATAGAGTTTAAAAAATAGAGATCTTTTTAAGCCACTTGAATCACTTGAAAGTTTAATTCAATTCAGGTTTAATTCAAGAAAAAAAAGCTAATACAAAGATAATACAAAGCTATTATCAATATCATTGAAGCTTTTATCAATATCAAAAAAGTTGAGCGGTGGAAAATCGAGAGAGAGATTGACAAACAAAACACCGAAAATCTGAAATTAGTCTCATCAATCAACAATTTCTTTTGGTTGTTAAGGAAAAGAAAAGAACAGCCGCCTTTTGCTTTTTGATCAAAGAAGAAATAAAGAAATAAAGAAATAAAGCTAAAAACATGGAAAATTTAAGAGAAATTAGCTTTTTAGCAGCAATTTATGCTTTGAAACTATTTGCGAATTCTTCAATGCTTTCAATGCTTCAACGCTTTCAATGCTTCAATGCTTCAATGCTTTCTAAAACGTTTCAAACGAAATTCATCGTAATCTTGTCTCTAGTTTTGTCTAGCACGTTACAATTGTAGATTTTACAATCATCCAAATAGTTTCTACTGTCTACTTGGGTTACTGTAACCTGTAGTTTTATCTAAGCTATCACTTTTCCTTTGATTCTACAGCGTTCTACCAAAAGATAGATGGATTGGATAAAAACTAGAGGCAAGATTACGAATTGATACGTTTTAAGGAAACACTTGTTTGAGAAGGATACAAAGGATACACTCTAGCCATGATTTAGCTTGATTAAATGATTTGAATCGCTTTATCTAGAAGGGATCTATAGCTTTATCTATTTATAGCTTTATCTAGAAAGGAAAAGCTGAAAAAGCCACGTAAGTTCTTAAAGAAAATGATTGAATCAACGATTGTTTTCACTTAAAAAAAAGAAAACTGAAATTTGGCTCAAATCCTAATTGAAATCGAAAACACAATAGCCAGCAAATAGAATGTCACTTTTTGATTGGTTAATAAGAATTTGGAAAGATTAGATTGTGTGATGGGAAAGTGTTCAGTGATGAGAGGAAAAGGAAGCCGTTTAGGTGAAGAAATCCATTTCTGTTTGATTTCAACGCCCCCCTTTTCCCTCTCGAACTTCAATATTTGACTTCGAAATGAAAGATAAAGAGCGGGGCCCCGATTTGATGGATTAATGAAAGAATAGAGGATGGAGAGAATGCTTTTCTTTTTTTGAGCTGTTTGATGGTGAAGTCGAATCAAAACAATGGCTACCAGGCTTGAGTGATCTCTATTTTCTAAAAAAAGAAACCACCGTAATCTTCCCTTCAGATTTTGTCTGATTTGCGTATTTTTGATTTTATTTGATGAGGAATCAAATTGTGAATCGAATTCGATTCAAATTCGATTCAAATTCGATTTAAATTAAGTAAAGCTAGGCAAAAGATGGCGGTAGTTTTTATCTAAATATCCAGAATCATCGTTCTTCAATGACCAATCAAAGAACTTGAAAACTATTTCCTTCACAAAAAAACATGTAGATTCTAAAGAGATTCCCATAAAAT